CATCCTAACGGGAACAACCTTGTATTACATGCGCGTCAATTCTTCAAATCCTTTTCAATTGATAAACAACAATCTGAATATGCATGTCATGTAGTTTTCCAATGAGCTTACTGACATCCGAGGTTTCGTAGCCAGGGACTCGAATCGGAAAGAAATCATAATAGCTCTTCGGGGAAGGTCTCTGGAATTACACTGTTACCAGTGTCTTTTCTAATCAAAAGATCTTCAGCGCCTCTCTGACTGACTTCTTACTCGATTCGCAACTAGTTCTTATTCCCTTGCTCACCCCAGGCGTATCGGCACCGGGTACGCGTTACAATTGGTTGACGTGGATCTGCAGCTAATAACTAACAGCTGGAGTAAAAGTACATAGCGGGTTTCTCGCTGCGTAAGGACTACGAACTTGACACCAGCTTCACGACTCTGATCGACCTCTAGCTGGAATTCCGTCGTGGCGCAAATATTGTTGATTGTCACACAGCAGACAAAGTCGTATCCAGACTACGCGATAGTCACAGTCGGACACTCATTAGGCGGCTCATTGGCTACTTTGGCAGCTGTTACCTTGAAGCATAACATCCTTGAAACGTGGGTTAGCAATGCTGATGGTTTAGGACATCCTCGCCGACAACCAACTGACAGAGAGGTTCGGACGTACTCGTATGGCGCCCCAAGAACTGGGGTGAGTAAATTTGGAGGCGATGCAACGTGTTGACCCTCATACTGCATGTGCTAGAACAAGGCATTCGCAGAATACGTAAACTTACAACTTGGAAATAAAGCCTTCCGTGGTAAGAGGTTGACGATTCTTTGTGTCTGTGCACTGATGCAATGTGGCGCAGTGGTACACACAACAGACGGGTGAGGTTTAGCATGGTTCCATAGAAATTCCGTTCCTAAAGAACACAGTGTTCCCACCGCGATTCCCCCGTCTTTGGGGTACTCTCATCACGGTATTTTCCTTACTTTCAGCCCTTTTCTACCGATCCTGATCTGGATGGCTCTAGGGATCGAATACTGGCTCAGCACCGATCCAGCATCGAAAGATACAACCTACCAGTGTTCCCCTGATGGGGAGGATCCGACTTGCTCGGCTTCAATACCTTCCCATGGAATAACTCCAGCGCATGCCGTGGTTTGTCTCTCCACTCCTGACTGGGAGCTGTTGATTGACCAGCCATGCAGTACTTCGGCATAACGGTTTCAACACCATTCTGCTTTTGAGCATGATTCTGAGGAGCGGTGTTTTGACGACGACTTCTTTGAAGATTGTAGAGATTACTGATTATAAGGCTATATAGTGGAATGTTTAATACAGTGGAGTATCTTGGGCGATTATGCTGGTCGTGCTGTCATACGCAGGTATAGTCTTTGATGCAAGATGACATCGAGAGTTCCGGAGGAAGGGTCAAGGGAAGGTGAAACCGCCATCTTCTCGGACGTTTGACAACCTGTGCACCGGAACTTCAAAATCTTCATCGTCTTCATCGTCTTGGTTGCTCATCTCGCCTGTCCCAAAGTCATAGTCCTGTGCACTATCACGCTTGGCCTTGCCATGCTTCCTCTCGCGTTTGAGCCCATAAACATTCCGGTTGGAGAGGTACCAATAGCCTCCTTTGCCGGCCTCATGCAGGAGCCGATTTTCGTTCATGAAGATGGGTTCAAGGGAAAGGTTGTGACGGATGGATCTCTGCAGAAAAAACACATTAATCGATTGCTTATTGGGAATATGAATATCGGTTCAATTACGCACATGCCATTTCTTCCCTGCTCTCCTTCCATCACGTCCTATCTCTTCAGGTATATTTCGATAGTAAGGGAACCTATTTTCTATCGCCGCATATATATCCTGGAGGGGTAGATGGCCATTGGGGCTCCCGTAGATTGCCAATGCCACCAGGAATTTATAAGCCACGACTGGGCGTGTGTCTGGAGGCGGGTCAGGTAGAGACCATAGGCTAAGTGGCTGGTCGGGTTGTAGACCAAGCGACTCTCGCAGCCATTCATCAATTGGCTGGTGTTGACCAATCTCATCACGAGCGATCCCCGAAGCAACAGGCTGCTGCGAAGCGGAAGGGGTTGACCAGAATCCCGTTGATGGTCCTTGCTGATAATAGGACATTCTCGTTGACTGAATAGCAAAATCGTTCCTGATGCGAACGAAGTCAAGAGTTAAGAATACTTTCTCTCAGGGACAATCTGACTTGTAACAATCGATAAAGTTTGGAGAGCTCCTGATTGATTCAGTGATTGGCGCCAGTCCTCCACATACAAAGTTAAGCGACCGGGCCGTTTCATCCTTTACCACTCACAAACTCGGACTCAATTGACTTAGGGGTTTGCAATGCAGAAACCCGACTTGAATCCATCAACTACACGCTTCTACGCTCTCAAAAGCGGCCTCGCCTTGGAACTTTTTCTGATCACGTCACCGTTGGTCATGTGAAGATGAGATGGGAACTTTTGGTCACAAGTGATAGGATAGTGAGAGGGCTTCCTTGAATTCAACTTCACACCAGAATACAGCAGAACGCGGCGAACTTCGAACACGATCAAGATGGCCGGCTGAAGAAAATGACGCATTCTTACAAGATGGATCATCGCCTTTTATCGTATTTCAGGGTCCCAACAGCCAGTCACAGGTTCAGGTGAGGAACTCT